ACTGGGGTTTGAACTCAGGGCCCCATACTTGCTAGGCAGGCATTCTACCACATAAGCCATACCCCAGCTGTTTTTGTTTTTGCTATTTTTCAGATAAAAGCCATACCCCAGCTGTTTTTGTTTTTGCTATTTTTCAGATAATCTGACACATTTTTCCTGGACTAATCTGGACAACAGTTTTCCTATCTTTGTCTCCTAGGTAGCTGGAACCACTAATGTGAGCCATACCAGGCCTGTGTGTTGAGACAGTGTCTGGGTATCTTTTTACTCTGATTGACTTGAAACTGTGATTCTCCCAGACTTGGTGTTGTAAGCAGCATATGTTAAAGGCCTAAAACTATTTGTTATTTTTTCACTGGTCCTGAGAACAGATGGATTTCCTTAGGACCTGTGAACTAAGGTAGGGCAAATCTAGCTGCCTATATCATAACTCTGGGCAAGTCATCTCATTCAATGTCTTTATCTAAAAGGCATCAACTTTAGGGTCTTTAGCATCTTCTTCTCTAGCCAGAAACTCCACAACTACTTACATTCTTTTTTTTTTTTTTTTGGTCTATCATGAGGCTTGAACTCTAGATACCATCCTTGAACTCTTCAGCTAAAGGTGAGTGCTCTATCACCTAAGCCACAGTGCCACTTCCAGTTTTCTGGTGGTTAACTGGAGATAAGAGTCTCATGGATTTTCATGCCCAGGCTGGCTTTGAACTGTGATCCTCAGATCTCAGCCTCCTGAGTAGCTAGGATTACAAGTGTGAGCCACCAGCGCCCAGCTACTTTCACTATAATTTACTTCCTTGAATCACATCTGAAAACTCCTGTGCCATCTGAATATTTCCTTAATAAAGTAGACGAATAGATAGGGTGCCAGTGGCTCAAGCCTGTAATCCTAGATATTGAAGATGCTGAGACTTACAGGCTTGTGGTTCAATGCCAGTCCAGGCAGAAAAGTCTGTGAGACACCATCTGCAATTAGACAACAAAATGCTACGTGGGAGGCATGGCTAAAATGGTAGTGAACCAGCCATGAGAAAGTAAGCCAAACAAGCTTAAAGCCCCGAGTTCAAGCTTTATGCCCAGTTGCCAGAAAAAAAAAGGAGAAAATGTAAAGATGGATTTAATATTTTCTGAGTGCTACCAAACTCAGGTGAATATCTCTCATTTGTAAGACTTCTGACTACTAAATTTGCTTGGGCTTCATTTGGAGTTTAGATATTTCTCTTTCAGAATGGGTTCATGTACAATATGCTGAATACAAACAAAAGAATGAATTCTATTCTAAGGTTCTCAAACTATCACCCAGCTCATCTTCTGAACTCTAAAGACAAAAATCCAAAATAAGAACCCAATTATGCTAAGCTTACCAAGTCTCCAACTTTTAAAATGGCCCCTTCCAGGTGTCAAGGACTCACATCTGTGATCCTAGCTACTTAGGAGGCTGAGATTTAAAGATCCAAGTTCAAGGCCAGCCAAGACAGGCTAATGTCTCCATTAGCCAGCAAAAAGCCAGAACTGGAGGTATAGATCAAGTGGTAGAGCACCAGCCCTGAACAAAAAAGCTAAGGGTCAGCATGTGGGCCGAGTTCAAGCTCCACCATTGGAACCCACACACACCCCTACACATTATTGGCACACCCACACCCAACATCCCCCCCGCCCCCACATACACACAAGTTCCTTAGAGCAGACCTAGATGGCAGCTGAATTCACCCAAGTGACACCTGAGACCATGTATTTCTTTGTCATTAAATGACCCCTGATTCATTTGTTATGAAATGATTATTTTACTGTTTTCCTTAGATGTTGTGCCTATAGAAAGGTACAGCATCAAATTCTTTATTAGATGCAGGAAAAAACAATAGACAAAAACTCCTGAGGGGCCTCAGCCATCTTGATAGACCCAGCATAGTTAAATCTACCCAGGGAAATCATGGAAGTTTGTTCTTTGCCCTCTGAGAGGTTACCCAGTGACCAAGACTACAGGCTAGGAAAAATAAATAAATGAATAAATAGTATGTCCCAAGGAAATAGAGAGAGAGCAAATTCTGACAGAGCAAACTATGGTAGAGGTTGTTAGGTCTGTGCTGACTGCAAATTCATTTTCTAAAAAGGAAACATAAAATGATTTACTAGAGGCTTGACAGAGTATGGTATTGTGCCAAATGTCAGGTCAGAAAAAGTGAAAACAGACCAGATCAAAGAGGGCTCCATTCATGGGTAGAGGTTTTGCAGAGAAGGCTTTTGCTTTTACTCCAAGTGGCTCTGACCTCATTTTGAGGTACTGATTACAGGCCAACCCATCTGTACAATTGTATACACAAAGATCTGGTACGAAATACAAAACCAACAAACCTTCAGGTTAAAAAAAGTCCATCTGAATGGAGGCCAGGAAGAGGGTGGGGGCTGCTTCTCCAGCACCAAATGTACTGAGATCAAAAGCCTCAGATCTGGGGCTCCACAGCATACTGGATAGCCTCAGCTCACAATAACGTATCCGATATTTTATGAAGATCTTCATAAAAGGAGCTCAAGGACTCCAAATATAAAGGTATGATAAGGACAGGCAAATGCTGGTTACTCTGATTTGATCAGTGCACACTGTGTACATGTATATAAACATCACACTGTACCCTGTTAATACATACAAGCTAATAAAGGTGCCAGATGCTGGTGACACATGCTTATAATTCTAGCTATTCAGGAGGATTAGATCTGAGGATCATGGTTCAAAGTGAGCCCAAGCAGAAAAGTCCAAGAGGCTCTATTTCCAACTAACCAGCAATATGCTGGATGAAAGCTATGGATCAAGTGGCAGAGCACCAACTATGAGCAGAAAAAGCCAAATGAGAGTTTAGAGCCCTGAATTCAAGCCAGCCCTAAATAAATAAATATGTCAAGAAAGAACAAAAAAGGGGGTAAGGAAGCAAATAAAACCCACCTCAGGTTAAGAGGAAAGAGTAGTGGGGAGAAGAAAATAGTTCTCTAAAGTATCTGAAACAAGATGACTCAACTTTGAGGGCAATGGAATATTCTAGAAACACTTCCTGCCTTGCCCACTCCTTGTCACCACTAACTCAGTAACCTTACTCTTGGAAAACAAAGCAGAATACTATAATGGTTACCCAGGTGGCTGAAAGGCTACGTCATTTCCTCAGACCATAGATAGCTGCTCCTCCTTCCTCATGCCTGCCATGCGTGAGGGCTACATCAGTACCACAACTGAAAGCAGAAGAAAGGGTTAGATATGGAGGTGTAGAGGCTATAGGCAAATAAAAACCTGAGAGGGGTAGTAGAGCTATGGCTCAAGTAGTAGAGCAACAAAGCTAAGCAAGAGGCAAGGCCCTAAGTCTGAAACCTAGTACTAGCGTGTGCCCATGCACGTTTGCAACACACACACACACACACACACACACACACACACACACACGAAGAAAAGGGGAAGCTAGGAGGGCTGCACTGCTTTAAAAGTCCCCATATCTGGCCAGGCACCACAGTGGCTTATGCCTATAATTCTAACTACTCAGGAGGCTAAGATCTGAGGATCGTGGTTTGAAACCAGCATAGGCAGAAAAGTCAGTAAGACTCTTATCTACAATAAACCACTCAGAAAAATCCAGAAGTGGCACTGTGGCTCAAGTGGTAGAGTCCTAGCCTTGAGCACAAAGAGGCTCAGGGACAGTGTCCAGGCCCTGAGTTTAAGCCCCAAGACCAGAAAAAAAAAAAAAGTCCCCACACCCACCAGGTGATTTTGGCATTTTTCATAGTCCTTAAAAATGTTTCCCTTGTCCTCAGAAAGCTAAATATTGACCTCCCTTATGACCCAGCCATACTACTTCTAGGCATCTATCCTGAACAACAGGAACCAGGATACAAGGACATATGCACCTCCATGTTTATTGCAGCACTGTTCACAATAGCCAGGATATGGAAGCAACCAGATATCCCACTACAGATGAATGGATCCAAAAATTGTGGTATCTATACAGAATGGAATCTTATGCAACCATTAGCAAGGACAAAATAATGGCATTTGCAGGGAAATGGATGGGACCAGAAGAAATCATGTTGAGCAAGGTAAGCCAAGAGCAAAGAGACAAATGGCACATGGTCTCCCTGATAAGTGGATGTTAAATCCAAAATATAAGGTGATACGACAAAATTAACAAGGTTTAAGAAACAAAGGACTTCCACTGATCTAGTCAAATCACTACTAAATAACCCCATGCTGCTGATAACGTATTTGGTACATATGTGTACACAGGAGGGAAACTAGGAGGAGGACACAGAACTAGAGGGAATCAGGGAAAAACATACAACAGCGGGACCCGTCAGCTGCACTGGACATTGATCAAAATGAACTAAGCAACTCAATGGCAGCGATGGGAAGGAAGGAACAGCTGATGCTATGCAAAACAAAAGAAATGTACATGTCACCCAATATGGAAGAAATAACTGTATCGTCAAAGCTCACAGAACTCATAAATGTTATTGACCATGATAGACAATTTGCCCCATGAAAGTTAGAATGTGTTCGTGACTTTAACTAAGCATCACTATCCCACAATACTGTGAAATTTGGGAAACTATGTAATAACTTAATCACAATAAAGAATTTGAAAAAAAAAATGTTTCCCTTGGGTTAGGAGTATAGCTCAGTGGCTCTGGGTTTGAGAGCTAGCACTATAAAAACAATCTCTCCTCATCCCACCTCTTGCCCAAAACACCTTTCCACTCACTGGTGGGCTCACTGGTGTGGCTCTTCAGGAGAGCTGTACTGGAGACCATTAGGGCCAGACTCCACATGCTCTGTTACCACAGACACAGTGGAGCCCAGGTCATCTTGAAGGAAGTTCACAACACCAACAGACAGCTTTTCATCTACACACTCTAGGGAGCAGGATGCCTAACAGCAAACAAGGCTAGTGTTTTACTTAGAAGGCTTTTGCTTTGGGGCAGTATTAGCATAATAACATGTAAAAAAGAAAGGAAGCAAGAGCGCATACCTGAAGGATGATATGATTGATGTCCCTTCATCATCAGGATAAAACTGTGTGATGGAATGATGTGCTCCAAGTAGTTCCTTCCCGTCTTTCCACCAAAAAATACCAGTAGGTTCCAGGTATATACTAGGTATATTGATTGAGCAATTAAACTTGACATCTTTATGCTCAGAAAGTATTATGTGTCCAACTGTGTGATTAAATGCAAGAGGCGGGAGAAGCTTTGAGACCGCAGAGGGCACCTGGGGAAGAACTTTGGGTCCTGGATGTGGTCTTTGTGTCTGGATTGGTGACATCAAGGCAGGCTGGTCTCCACTGGAGAGAGGAAAGGGGAGTGGCCTGTGGTTGACTGGCAGGCTCCCTGGGAAAGGTCCTGGGGATGGTTGGTGCAACTTGGTTTCTCCTTCCACTTCAACAATAACTGCAAAACAGAACATCTGAGTTTAGTCCTCATATCATGAAGAAGAGTTTCTACTTCTTAGGCCAGGATGAGTTTCTACTTCTTAGGCATCCTCAGTGCTCTCAGAAAGGATGAGTAGAATCTTCTTATTATGCACATTTGTCATGTAGTCTCATTACCAAACTCTTGGTTTACTTGTCTCCTTCTGAAGAGTTCCCAGGCAATAAGCCAGGCATGTGGCTCATGTCTGTAATCCCAGCCTTCAGGAGGATGAAGCAAGAAGACCTCAGGTTTATGGGTAGTCTGGACTACAAAGTGAGACCCCTCAAAAAAAATTTTTTGGCAGAAAAATGGAGAGAGGGAGGAGGAACAAATACAGTCATAATACTCAATGTACATATGTAAAAATGTAACTAGGTAACTTGAGGGATGGATGATGGGATGGGGACACATGGTAGAGAACAATGGGAGAGGTGACAACCTAGTCATAAGCTAATATGTTGAATTGAAAGTCCTTTATACAATTACTTGGAAATATTTTTAAACACTATAAAAGAATCAAAATCTACACAGTGAGACCAAAGGAGGATACTCATAGGGGAGGAACACAAAAGCTCAATGTACATATGCCTCCAATCACATAAAATAATATTCATCAAAATGAGTTTCAGGAAATGGAAACAAGAGGGTTTTTTTCTTTGTTCTTTTCTTTTTGTCTTGTGTGTTTGTTCATCTGTCTTTGGGAAGGCAAAGAGTGGCACAGAAATGAAAGGACAAAGAGAGAACAAATGTAGCAGTGGCACTCACTGGACACTATGTTGAAAATGAACGATAAAACTTGTGGATGAGATGCCAGGCACCGGTGGCTCACCCCTATAATCCTAGCTAGGAGGCTGAGATCTGATGATTGAAGTTTAAAGCCAGCCTGGGAAGGAAAGCCCATGAGACTCATCTCCAATTAACTACTAGAAAACTGGAAGTAGCGCTGTGGCTCAAGTGGTAGAGCGCTAGCCTTGAGCTGAAGAGCTAAGGGACAGCTCCCAGGCCCAGAGTTCAAGACCTACGACTGATCAAAAAACAAATAAACAAACTTGCGGATGGGGATGGAAGGAAAAAACTGGGAGAGACCAGGGAAGGGGTTGATGGTCATTACCTGTACTCATTACCTGACATATGTAACTGTAACCCGTCTATACATCACCTTTATAATAACAACAAAAAAGAATTAAAAACTCAAAAATTTAAACATTTAATTATAAGAGAAAAGGAATTTTAAAGAAATAAAATTTCGGGGCTGGGAAGGTGGCTCTAGTGGTAGAGTGCTTGTCTTGCATGCATGAGACCCTGGGTTCGATTCCTCAGCACCACATAAGCAGAAAAAGATGGAAGTGGTGCTGTGGCCCAAGTGGTAGAGCGCTAGCCTTGAGGTGAAGAGCTGAGGGACAGCGCCCAGGCCCAAAGTTCAGGCACCATGACTGGCAAAAGAAAAGAAAAGAAAAGAAAAAGTAATAAAATTTCTCCTACATAGAAAAAATTCTTTTTCTTTAATGGTAACTCATTCCAAGTCCTTCATACCCAACTCTACAGGAAGGTGATGGTACAGAAGGGCTTTCCACCAAAAAACACCAGTGGGTTTCAGGTACATACTAGGTATATGGATTTAGCAATATTTATGCTCAAAAGCATTATGTGTCCAACTGTGTGATTAAATGCAAGAGGTGGGAAACGATCACTTACTGCACATACTACGGCATGAATTTAGTCAATAGTTTTCAAAAAGTTGCTACGGTTCAAAAAAGGAAATGAATGTAGCTTATGTTACCAGACTTGGAGCATTCAGTAAATGCCTGCCTTCTGGAATGAACTGCAGAATATTTCTTATTTCATCTGGCCCACGAGTCTTTCTAAAAATAGAGGCTCGCATCAGTTGTATTTTCAGCCTTTTTAAACACCATTATGGAGCATTCATTCTATGCTGGTTGTTATTTATTCAAACAGGTTGTCAGTGAGCCGTTAATGGGAGAGAGACACAGGCCTGGCACTTTATGCTATGGATTAGTACAGAGGGACCCCCAGCCCTACTCAGTATGTCACACTCTGCTAGGCTCGTGAGTGTGAGTGTGTGTGTATGTGCAGAGGACAGCATAGCTTCTGCTTAGAGCGAAGCAAAGGTTAGTAAATAAGAACCCAGAATGTCCAATTAACTTGAATTTCAGGAAATATAACAAATTTTTGATATAATAAAGGACTTAAGTGGCCATTGAGATATAGAGATCAAAGAAAAAAAGAAAGGGGATCTGGGAAATTTGTCTTAACATGTCATTCTAGATAGCATATTTATTTTTAATTTTTTTATTTTAAAGATACTGTACAGAGGGGTTACAGTTACATAAGTAATGAGTACATTTCCTATCAAGCATTGTTACCCTCTCCTTTGTTTTCCCCCTACCATCCCTTCCCTCCCCATCTCTCCAACTTCTCCTTCCCCCCACCCAAGTTATAAAGTTTGTTTTAAACATAGTGTCTTGTACATCTCATTGTTACAATGGGTCAAGCTATATCTTTGTTTCAGCGTTTTGTTATTTCCCTTCCCCTCCCCAAATTAGAAAGAATGTATATACAAGATGCAGGGCACCTGAATCAAATACAGTGAAAACAGGGGTTATACCCTGGGGAAAGAACATACAAAAGAAACAAAAAAAATCACATAGTACATTAAAAACAACAGCAACAAAGATAAAACCTCTTGTGTCCCTATCTTGGGGTTCATTTCACTTCCCATTATCATTTTTTTTGTGGGTGTGGGGCTTGAACTCTGGGCCTGGGTGCTGTCCCTGCTCTCTTCAGCTCAAGGCGAGTGCTCTACCACTTGAGCCACAGCGCCACTTCTGGGTTTTCTAGTGGTTTATTGGAGATAAGAGTCTCACGGACTTTCCTGCCTAGGCTGGCTTTGAACCGTGCTGCTCAGATCTCAGCCTCCTGAGTAGCTAGGATTACATGCTTGAGCCACCAGCACCTGGCCACATCATCTTATATGATCATATGTACATAGCTTTTGACCTTTTCTGCTTGTCTGGTAAGATTATCCTAGACATATACTAGTTATTGCAAATAAGGGAAACCATGGGACCTATGTTTCTTTCGGTCTGGCTTACTTCACTTAATATAATTTTTTCCAAGTCTTTCCATTTTCTAACAAATGGAGGTGGTGCCATTCTTTCTGATGGAGGCATTCATATCTATTATCTATCTATCTATCTATCTATCTATCTATCTATCTATCTATCTCACATTTTCTTGATCCATTCATCTACTGAGGGGCATCTGGGTTGGTCCATACATTAGCTATGGTGAATAATGCTGTGATAAACATAGTTGTGTTGGTAGCTTTAGTACAGCAAAAACAATCCTTAGCAGAAAGAACAGCGCTGGAGGAATATCAATACCAAATTTCAAACTCTACTACAAAGCCATAGTAATCAAAACAGCTTGGTACTGGCACAAAAACAGACCTGAGGGCCAATGGAATAGAACTGAAGACTCAGAATTGAATCCACAGACCTACAGCCACCTAATCTTCAATAAGGGAGCTAAAAAATAGAATGGAAGAAAGATAGACTCTTCAGTAAACAGGTGCTGGCAAAACTGGTTAGACAACTGTAGAAAACTAAAGCTAGATCCTTATATATCACCCTGCACCAGAATCAACTCCAAATGGAGCAAAGACCCTGAAGTAAAAGCAGAAACCCTGAAAACATTACAGGAAGGAATAGGAGAAATTCTAGGGCTTCCTGGCACAGGCCAAAATTTTCTTAATAAAGACCCAGAAACACAACAAATCAAAGAAAGGTTGGACAAATGGGATTGCGTGAAACTGAAGAGCTTCTGCAAGGCAAAGGATATAGCTAGCAAGATCAATAGAAAGCCCACGGATTGGGAGAAGATCTTTATTAGCCATATAACGGACAAGGGCCTCATATCTAAATATACTTAAAACTCAAAAAATTAAATCTCCTAACAACAAATCCTCAAAGAAACAACTGCCCAATTAATAAGTGAACTAAAGACTTAAAGAGAGACTTCTTTGAAGAGGAAATAAGAATGGCCAATAGAAGCCGGGTGCTGGTGGCTCACGCCTGTAATCCTAGCTACTCAGGAGGCTGAGATCTGAGAATCGCGGTTCAAAGCCAGCCCAGGCAGGAGAGACCATGAGACTCCTATCTCCAATAAACCACTAGAAAACCGGAAGTGGCGCTGTAGCTCAAGTGGTAGAGCGCTCGCCTTGAGCTGAAGAGCTGAGGGACCAGAGTTCAAGCCCCATGACCGACAAAAAAAAAAAAAAAGAATGGCCAATAGACACATGAAGAAATGCTCAACTTCTCTAGCCATAAAAGAAATGCAAATCAAAACAACATTGAAATTCCACCTCACCCCAGTTAGAATGGCTATAATCAAGAACTCTAATAACAACAGATGCTGGAAGGGATGTGGACAGAAGGGACCCTTACTGCATTGTTGGTGGGAGTGTAAACTTGTTCAACCACTCTGGAGAGCAGTATGGAGGTTCCTCAAAAGACTCCACATAGAGCTCCCCTATGACCCAGCAATCCCACTTTGGGGCATAGATAACATATTTCTATCCCTCCACTCTGGCCATTGCTCCAGATCATAAGAACCTCACAGCACGGCTGTTTCCCACTCCAGAACCATTCCCTCCCGGGCGGGTTCTGTAATGGGTCCTCTCTTTAGGTTCTGCCTCCTTAAGGAGTAAGGATGAATGCATGGTAGCTGGTAAGAGATTTACTTCACTGCTTTTCCTTGTCCCAAGGCCTTAGTGGCTGAGACTGCAGGGCCCTCTGGGTGCTTTGGCAGAGGACGACATGCCATTTTGAGGTTTGGGGTATGTGTGTTATGAAAATATGTTAGAGAACTTATCTTAAGGTGATAAATTGTTGTTATTCCAGCAATTTTGGCATTATAATGCTTTCTCTAACCACCACTCCTTCCCTTCTACAGATGGG